CATCCATAGAGAAATTATAAGCTGTGTTCGAGAAGGATGGGAGAATTGCTCATGATCATCCATTTTATTTATTCTAAATGCACAGAGAAAAATCACACTCATAGGTTTACCTCAAAAAATATGGTAGTTTTAAAAGTATGTAAACAAATCTACATTGGTGCTTTCATGCCATCTAGTACTTCTCTATAGCCACGAATGAGACACAGACAGTGATGACAGATGCTGAAGAAAGTGCCTTACTCAGAGCTGGGCTGGGCTGCTTGATGGAGCCATCTGTGTGAGAGGTGATTAAATTAAATTGAATAATTTAAGTAATACCTTGGGGGTGGAAAAAAAAGACAGGGCTGGGGACTAAATGCAACGCAAGCATTGCCATATTTTTCAATAAATAAGTAATGCAAATATCTTGAAACCAGGGTTGTTGCAAAGGGGAGAGGAAAAAGAGGTTAAACAATATTGCAAATCACATTAAAGCATTAGGGATAAAGAACAAATATTTACCAGTTTCTGAGGGTCGTGTTTGGTTCTCAACGGCAATGGATGTGAGAATCATGATGTACCATGATGGTACTTCTTGCTTCTAGTCATGAATACCCAAAATTCTTAAGGTTCTCTTCTTCATTTAGTATCCAGAAATGTTTGTGCAAAAATAAATTATTTAAATAATAATATAAGAATTTATAATATAAGAATAATATAAGAATTTAATAAATAATTTAAGAATTAAACTTAAAATTAAACAGCTTAAACTTCATCAGTACAGAGACTGCAACCACATATTCAGGATTGAGGGTAATGGTTTCATAAAAATATATTTGAATACAAATCTGGGGAGATGCATCCTCATGGCTATTAGATCTAATATTTCAGTGCTGTTTTGATATTCATAATCAAGTGAAATGGCATTAGAAAAAAGCAATACTGCTTGGAATTAATCCAGCATCACAGTAGTGTGTCTCTGTAGAATAAAGCAACAAAAGATACAAATCATGCTGGACTTTAATCTGTGCCCTAAAGAGCCTTTCAAAAGGCCCTTTTAACAGTGATCAATCTCTGGGAGGGGACACAGGGAGAGAGATGTAGACTGTTGATTGTCATCTTCACAGCGTTACAAATACAATAATAACAATAATAATAAATATGTTGCCCCAACTTCTGGGAAGATGCTTATTATTTTTAAGTAACATGAAACTCTTTAAGAGGTACTAAAAAGATTATTGACACAGACATTATTCTTTAACAACAAAAAAGGCTGAAGAAACACGCGGAATAAACAATTGTATAATTAGGCGCAGAACACCAACAAAACACAGCGTATTGGAAACGAGATTCATAAATTAAGTTACCTTTCCGTTGTCCATCATTCAGTACGACATGCACATGCGTTGAGAAATTAGGATTGGATAAGAAGTAAATGATGAAAAATCAAACATTCATTTCCAAATGTGGAGAGATGCAACAGCTAAACAACACCACAGGTATCGGACAAGGCTAGCCTGCATGAAACGCAGTTGCAGTCTGACGATTTGAGAGCACGTCTCACTGACTCGTGTGAGTCTAGTGAGGAGGTTTTGATTCATTCCAGTGACTCGAATCGTTTGGATCCGTTCAGTAAAAGATTCATTCACTTAACCCTTTATGCACTTACGTCAGTAGGTGGCGACATTGAGTCTATTTGAATCGTTTCATTCTTTGAAGAACAGTCCATTTAAGTGTTATTTTATAATTGATTAAAATATGCTTGTCTACATAGTTACTAATGCCGAGTTCACACTGCACGATTTTAGCCCGATTTGTCACTTGCCGACAGGTTTTGCAAAATCGCCGACAGATGCCTGAAATCGGAGGGAAATCGGTGCTCGTTCACGCAGGTGACAATCATGTAGTGTGAATGATCAAAGACGCAATCTGAGGGAATTGCGGACACTTTGCCGATTTTATAATTCCAGTCTTGCTCGAGAACTCCGGTCTGACGCACGCGGGTTCTCGCGTTATTTCCTTATCACTTCTGGAGTGTTTTGTTGTGAAACGTAGTTTGCGGACCAGACAGAGCTGTCGGCGATTCTTCCTATTGTAAAGTCATGCAGTGTGTAACCTCCTGTCGCCGATCCATCGTGCAATGTGAACACAGTAGTGATGTCCGGTTCGCGAACGAATCGTTCGATTTAACCGGTTCTTCTTAGTGAACCGGTTGAACCAGTTCACCAAATCTGACTGAATCATTTGAAACGGTTCGCGTCTCCAGTAAGCATTAATCCACAAATTACTTAAGTTATTCACTTTTTTAACATGGCTGACACTCCCTCTGAGTCGAAATAAACCAATATCCCGGAGTAATTTATTTACTCAAACAGTACACTGACTGAACTGCTGTGAAGAGAGAACTGAAGATGAACACGAGCAGAGCAGCCGGATAACGAACGTACACGCCCACTGCTGGAGCGGTTCTCGTTCTCGAGTCAAGAACCGGTTGCTGATCCGACGAGTTTGAAAATCATGCAGTGTGAACTCGGCATAAGAGTATTTAGGTGTTTCCTCCATACAGGACAACTCAGATCTATAATTTTTTTCCTTAATTTTATCAATAACTGACGTTAACGAGAGATAGGAAAACATGACGTTCACAAGAGATAGAAAGAGTCTTCAGTCATGTTATATAATTATACACTATAAATAATTATTTTGTTTATAATGCTTCCTCCACCTCCTTTGTGTTACGAACGAGATGTATTGATATGACGAATTCAGTCGGCCGGCCTTGTTCGTGAGCGACAGGGCCGTCCTTAGAGGGGTGCAACTGGTCCGGTCAAAAAGTTTTTTTTTTTTTTTCAAACTGAATTTAAAAGTATGATTTATATTATTAGTGTCTAAGTTTTTGATGTTCTTGCAGATACGGATTCACAAAGGTATATTTTTATATGTGCTTTTTTTGTTTATTAATGTTTTGATTATAGGGAAGTTAAATGTAGAGTTGCTAACTTTTTTCCAATTTCGTAACAATTTTTGTAAAAACATTGATTTGAAAACGTCATTAAAACTGCTGAAAAAAGCCTTAAAACTCGAAATTTGCTTATTTAAAGAGGATTAAAGGGGTCATATGATGTTGCTAAAAATAACATTATTTTGTGTATTTGGTGTAATGAAATGTGTTTATGCGGTTTAAGGTTCAAAAAGTGTGTTATGATTGGCCAAATACCTCAAGCGTGTGAAATGTTACACCCCTACCATACTGTGATTATGCCCTGTCAGGCCGGGGCGATGATTTGTGTCACGCGCCCGCATAAACATAAAACCATGTCTGCATTTGTGATCGGAGAAATTACAAACAACAAGCGCTACTCTACACTGCTCAAAACTCGCGTTTGAATCGTCAGTGGCAAATTCTTTAAATATAATTAAAAACAAACAAAAAAAAAAAAATTACAGTCTGTGAGTCCGACCAGCCGGCATTGTAGTCTACTCTTCCAGGATCAGGAAACAGTCCTCTATAAAATGCGCTGGACACATCTGAATATTTGGGATAAACTGTTCTGGAACAGTGTTGTAAATACAACTTAACCACTGATTTCTAGTCGTGTCCTCTTTTGGAAGACCAAACAAAGTAGTTTCGCTTTCACAACGAAACACACTGCGGGCTAGAGTGAGCCGAGGGTTTCCACCCTTTTTTTTTTTTCGTATGTGGGGGCGGGGGAAAGAGAGATTATGTCACAAGCCAGCATAGACTATAATAAACGAAGGCTCACCATTTTAACAAAAGGCTTTTATTTCAACAGTTAAATATTTACAGATCCATTAAAATAGATACATTAAAAGCGTCTATTAAAAAGACTCAAGCGCCTGCCAGTGCAGCGGAGTTTCTGCGGCGTCTCAGCTGATCCCAGGCCTCCAGGATCTCCCTCCCCGTGATGGCTCTGTGGCGGCTGAAACACGAGAGACGCGCGGCCTCGGACCCCACTCTCTGCAGCAAATATCTGCTTACGCCCGTGGACTCATGAACGCGTCCCACTGCCGTCTGATTGACCTGGGCATGAAAGCCAGTTGTTTTCATATGCAATCATTTTACACACATTTTCAACTTTTGTTCTCTAGTTATAGTTACTGGATCTATAAAACACACCTGTTGTCGGACTGTGTACCTGAACGCAGCGTGTCCTCTGGTTCTTGATATGGAACTTCTGGGTGACGTGCACCGCTTGCTTTTAAGGCTAGGAGCTTTCATGATGATCAGAAGAGTGTGTAAACAACAGTCGCTGAAGCGAAACTACAATTTAAGGTATGTCTAATCAATCCCCTAATGACTAACAAGCAGGTGCATGCCTCCTTAATTTGACTTGAAGCGCATGCGCACGCACTCGACTCAAAAACTTGTAGCAAGAGCATATTTTCTAATCAGCATTTGTCAGATTTATTTCATCTGAACAGTTTAGATGATGTCATTTGATAGTTAATGTACAGTTTTCTGGGAAACGTATATAACAGAATATCATGTTTTTATGTTTGTTGACGGATAGCCTAATTCATGGACACAGTAATTAATTTAGACATTGGGGGAAATTTGTTATTTTTTATTTTTTGAGAGAAGTGAGAAACCTTGGGTAAGATGACCCCTTCTGAAATAGGGCAAAATACCCCTGATGCATATTTAAGTTATTTTGAAATAATTATTACATTTCAAACACATTTCAAGCATCCCTTTTTTTTTGACATCACCTGTTGAGTAGAATTAAATTATCTTATATACAAGCGAATCATTAAAAGCTATATCAGATGTATTTTTATGAAATTAGATTACTTCATTTGAAACAAAATGTAAATTTAGTATTAGCAAATTAATTGTATTTCCTCTAATAATACATTGGATCATCCCATGCGTGTATTGTTACACTAAGGGCCTTTACCACATGCCCCCCTTACTACAATTTTTTAAATATATTAATATTTGTTATATTTTATTATTTTTGTCCAACTTGAGAGTGAATAGATTATACAACCAAAGTATACAAGGTACAGAGAGAGACTTCCTTTATTTAAAGGCAATGTTTCTCAGGTAAGTGCACAAACACAATTAAACAATGTAGGCTCATAGTAAATACAAAAAGGGATTTGGTCAAAACTGTGGAAATGAAACATGCTACATCACCATCACAAACCACATTAGAACACACAATAATACAACACTCCATGAGATCTCCCACCTCTCTCCAGATAAGCAAAACCTTTAAGTCTGATTTGCCAAAGCAACAAACTTCATATAATGAATACAACATAACATGAAAAAAGGGCTTTATATGTAACTTTGAACACAAATAAATGTAACTGTAACACATGCTAATGACCATTTCTTCCTTGAAAAATACCAGAGAATAAAAATAAATGAATTGAGTGCAGTGATTGGGCAATGATATTCACTTTGGCATATTGTGACACAAGAAAAGAGGTGGAACAGGAAGTAGTTGGGTATGGCTTTGCTGACATGTTCCAGATCAGGTGCATTTATTCATGCAAAGTAGCAGCTCCATGCGGATGGCGATACGAGTGTGCCAGCCGAGAGGGAGGATGCGGATGTAACGTGCTACGATAGGTGGACGCAGCAGGTTCTGGACTGTGGAAGAGCGGTCAGAGTTTCCATAGAACACCTGAGGAAAAAACAATATTTATGCAATACTTTAAAAGGAATAGCAATCCTTATTATTCCAGGATGGGCTGTTTGTCGTCTTACCCTGTTGTTTCCAGTTTGGTCTTTGTAGTAGATCCAGTTGAGCTTCTCATTGGTGCGGTACTGCATAGTGTACTTAGTAATCCACTCATCAGAGTCACAGCGGCCCTGGGTCAGGATACCAGAAACCACTTTGACCTCCTTCAGATCAATCTGAAGCCACTGGTTGGTATCCTGGAATTTAGACAGCCAGGCACACCTAGGAGAGGAGAGAATAATCTATAAATGCAAAAGAAAATCACAGATCGCATAGACCAAGGCTCCTTAAGATTGCTTCAATAATACTACACTAAAAGTTTGGGGTTTGTAAGATTTCTTAAAGTTTTTGAAAGAAGTCTCTTATGCTCTCAAAGGCTGCATTCATTTGATCAAAAATACAGTAAAACAGTAATACTGTAAAATATTACAATTTAAAAGAACTGTTTTCTATTTTAATACATTTTAAAATGTAATTTATCATGGCAAAGCTGAATATTCACCAGCCATTACTCCAGTCTTCATTGACAAATGATAATTCAGAAATCATTACAATATTTAATGTCCTTGCTGAATAAAAGTATTAATTTATTTTAAAAATCATAATGATCCCAAAAGTTTAAACTGTAGTGTAATTATTTATTTATATATATATTTACGATTTTTTTTTGTAATATTATTTCAATGGTTATGAAAGAGTTTGAGATATGTGGAATCTGCAATAAAATCTGTAAATCTGTCAGTACTAAATAAATTCATACTTAAAAATCATGCTAATGCACATTAGACTTATATAGTTAAAAAAAATCCAATGGCTATCAAAAAAAAAAAAGCTAATTGACTCTTTAACTGAAACTCATGACTTCTGTTTCAACAGCTGCCATAATTAGCAATATTTCAGAGAACTCACCCAAATCCTTGGTTGTTGAGCCTTGCTTTGCTTGGAACCCATGAGGAGAACCAGCCTGTGTACTCGTCTTCATTAGAGCAGCTGATCTGATCTGAAGTCACCGATCCTGCCTCGAAACCCAGGGGCTTATGGTAGGGACACTCTGGACAGTAAATTGAGAATGTGGTTAATATTTAGCTTTGCTAAACTATATAGTAAAACTATAAATATGCACCTCTGTCAGTTTGGATCAAACCAGGCTTTCTGACTACAGGCAGTTCCAAATAACACAAATCTATGAACAGGAATATTCAACAAAAGCCTGCAGGATTTCTAAAATGTCTGACGGGGCTTAATGAAACATTAGTCACGCAATCAGAGAGATTTCTTTGTCATGTTGTGTTAAAGAGAAATGGACAAAGCATTAATCTGGCGGCTCTGTAATTCCGTGCTTCCACTCTTCTGCTCGTGACTTCGCAATCCCAAAAGCTTTAGTTCCACATAGTGAAAGATCAACATCCATTAAGACTTTAGGTTGACAGATGGTCACGTTCCACACACTTAAGCTCCAGTCATACAGCAGTGTTTTTACATAACAGTCCCACTTTTCCAGGATTTAGGATGTTCTTTTTGACATGCCAACTTCCGGTTTTGATCAAATCAAATGAAAATGAATGCATTCAGAATCAAAATCATGAATTCTATTAAAAAAAAAAAAATCTCTGCAAAATCAACACTTAACAGGAAAGTCCACCCTAAAAATTACATTTCAATTTGCTCATCGTCATTTGAAGAATATCGGTAACCAAACAGTTTTGGTTCCCATTAACTTCCATGGTCAAAAAATACAATGGGAACTGCAACTCTTTGGTTCCCAACATTCTTGCACAGTAAGTCATATAGATTTGTGATGACATAAATGATCTTAATTTTTGGGGTGAACGATTCCTTTTAATGGTCAATGCGGTTTGATTGGCAGGTCCTATTCTAGTCTTGGTAATCTCGGGAACTCTCAGCATAATGGGATTATGAACAAGCATCCGGTCCATCTCTGATTCTTGCTCCATCTTTATTTTTTTCCTCAACTTTCCTCCCTTTCAGTTGATTCTAACACATCAGTCTCTGAGGACTGAGAAAGCAAGCTGCTCTGTGTTAATGGAGCATGTCTGCCCTGTGGTGGTGTGCCAATGGCCCAGGTGAAGCTGCAACCAAATGATTAATGACTTTCTGTGCCACTGCAGGCGAGGGCTTGTCCGGGAGCCAGCTCATTCACACATGTCCTGCCTTCTGTTTCCAAAGGGCACCAGCTAGCACTAACTAAATCCATCCATCTCAGTTCCCAAAGAGTCAAAGTTAGCGCAAAGCCCCATTCACAAATTTCGCTCTCCTGACAAAACGGATTTGAGTGGTATTTGATTCACAATAAAGCCAGTAAAAACAACACTATCTAGAAGAAAGCTGATTCATTATATATTTGTTTGACACATTTTGAACCAAAATACTTCATAGTGGCAGAGTGGAGTTTGTCCAAACCAGGACAAAGCCTACAAACCCTCACATTCAGGTTACGATAAGTGCTTATTACAGTTTAGAAAATAAAAAAACAGCAATGTGATTCCTTGAATCCATATTTCTTAAAGTCTCTTTCTCTTTCTTACCTGGAATGCAGTCCATCTCCTGTCCCCTACTTGATGAAGAACCTTTGGAAAGCAACTTGCTAGAGGAATCACGGTCACACTTGCAGGTTTTCCCAGCCCATGTGTCGTTGCCCTCGCCATCCTAAGCACATATGAACATTGTCATCAATATTTCACTTTTAATTGTCTCTGATATCAATATCAAATGCATTTAATTACCTCTTGCGCTTGCAGCCCAAAAAAACCTGGACAAAATGTGGAAGAGTAAAAGAGCAAGAAATTGTAATTCAGGTGGGATATGTTTTATTAACATTTAACATTCACTATCATCTTTATTTGAAGTTAACATTTTTTCTTTCTTTAATCAAGAATGAAATCTGATTAAATCCAAAATAAATCTGATTAAATTGAACATTTCTGCTACTATTGTGAAATTGACACATACCTTCAGACACCAGCAGGATGGCTAACAGTAACATGTTCGGCAGTCTGTACTCCATGATGGTTTATTTTTCGAGTGGTGGACCACCGCACTGATATTAAAGGGGCTGGATTACTGTAATCCACAGAGCACTAATGGCCTTATCTAATGCCCTTCATCTCAAAGCTCCTCCCTTTGCTGCTGAAAGCTAGTTTGAAATTGTTCACATCCCAGTCCGACCCTTGTCTGTTAAAAAAGAGAGAAATTGCCAAATGATCCCTAATTATAAAGCCGGATGGTCACCTTCTGTGACCCAGTTAATGGTTCAGTGCATGCAATTAACTCAATTCAACTTCCCCAGCAATCTGTTGATGCAAACCACTACATACAATATGCCAGCCCATTTGATGGAGAGACAAGTTTCTTTGTTCATTTTTCTTCTGCAGTTGCTGCTAATGTGGCTCATGATAAATTATCCTTTTGTTATGTACAGGTCTTCATTGTTTTATTTTATTAATGATCTCAAAGACATTACACAAAGGTGTTTGCAATGAAATGATGCATGCTGGAACATAGTTGGGTAGACATTGTTTTAATTGTTATTAATTACAGCAGAATATACATTATAAATGCTGTTGGAGTCAGACATGCCTGGACTTAAATTAAACGTTAGGGTGCTGTTTCCCACTTGTACCCTAAAGAGAACACACAGACAAATAGTCTTCACAAAAGACATAGACAAAGTGCTGAGTGAGTGGTGCTGATTACGTTTGAGATCAATCTTGTGCATTGGTGAATAAAGTTATAAGCAAATAACTTTCAGTTTACAGACTCAATTAATTGGATAGATGAAGGCCCAGACGGAATCTGCACTTTTATCTGTGCTGATTTTGGGGCGGAAATAAATATGAAAGTGTGTTTTAAATAAAACTAAGAATACTAGACTCTTAATGGTAATTCAAAGCAACATTTAAAAGCCAAAATGCGTCACAAACGGACATGCAAGCAGCTGAGGGATGTGAAGAAATGTGCAGATTCTGTGTGGAACTTAAAGATGTAACCAAAATGATGTGGCTGTTGTCTAAATGGAAGTCACATCCTGATCGGTTGGATTTTTGACAACAATCCTGTCAAGCAGAAGGGGTAAGGACACAATTTAGGGATGGATCATGTTCTCAATTCAGCAAACAGGATTCAAACAGTTCTACATCTAATAGGAACAGTCTTAACATTTAAACAAAACAAAACATGTCTTTCTAAGTACATTTTATGACAGACTCAAAAGTCCGCAAAAAAAAAAAAAAGAATATCAGATATGTCTGTGAACTCATCTGACAGAATAAACTCTTGTTCCTGATAGATTGTAAACTTTTGGCCTTGCATGACTTCACAATGGCTTTAGTTGGCACGTCAACTGCTTTAGACGAAAAAGTGGCAGCAATTTCAATACTTAAAGGTGGAATAAACAATATAAAATGTCTAAAGTAGAAAAGAGAGACCTGTTTTTCGATAACCATGAAAGATGCAGCTGACCACTGGGCCTTATTTGAGCTAAAGACTTACATTCTTATGCATATATAAACATTTGTCCAATGGTAAACTGAAAGAAAAAAAAAAGTTAAACATTACATTCTAAGAGGATACAGCTTCTAGTCATTGCCACGCCACAGAAAATGAACAAATATGAGAATCAGTGAAGATGTCCAATATATTTAATCTATTCCGTGCGCTTCTGGGGATGAACCTGAATGTTTATATCCCTGCATTCAACAGCTCAGACACTTGAAAGCTAACAGGCATCCTCTTTGGATGATAGATGCTACAAGCCAATATAAGACAAGCTGTCTATGGCTTTTAAACCATGACAGATGAGTTGTCAGTACCTGCAGGTATACTTCAATATGGCAGCGAACCAAGTAGCACTCTAAATCACCTTCAAAATATCCTTCAACATACATTTAAGGCAGCTCATTCAGTCCATATATACGGTGAACAGAAGTAAAGTGGGACACAATTTGTCAGTGTCATTTTAAAATCCAAATCCAAATGGCTACAACATCATCTTGTATTCAAGAGAGAATATACAGATAATAGATTCAGCTTACCGTTCAAAAGTTTGGAGTTGGTAAGGTTTTTGAACGAAGGGTCTTATGCGTACCAAGGCTGCATTTATTTGTTCAAAAATACAGTAAAAACAGGAATATTGTAAAATATTATTACAATTTCAACTGTTTTCTATACATTTTAAAATGCAGTTTGTTCATGTAATAATAAGGCAAAATTTTCAGCAGTCATTACTTCAGCCTTCATTGTCGCAATATCCTTCAGAAAATCTTTCTAATATACTGATTTGGTGCTCAGGAAACATATATTATTATTTGTTATCAATGTTTAAAATGTATTTTTTAAATGTCTTTACTGTCACTTTTGATCATTTTATTGCATCCTAAATAAAATATTAATTTCTTCTTCTTCAAAAACAAAAAAAACAGACTGACCCCAAACTCTAAAAACAGTTATCTATTCACTCTATATTACACGACTATCAGGCTTAATTTTGACAGAAATGTTGGTAGACGCAGCCCTTCAAAGGTCAGGTTTGTATTTTAGTGCTTAAAACTAAAGCTTTCGAAATCATTTTGTACTCTGGGATAGGGAACAGGTAGATTTTTCTCTGATCTTTTGTTAGCATGATTCCACATCAGTTGATTTTTAATGAGGAAAAAAATCATAACATTAAAAATAAAATAAGAGGGCTTGGCAAACCAGAATCGGTGACATTCTACATGCTGCAGATGTAGGTCTTGTAGCAGGTTAACAAGGCTGGTCATAGATTACCACTCACAGACGACCTCACCACAGCTGGAGACAGCCAAACTATTTATCTTGGCAGTCCTAACAGCTGGCTGATGGGGGGATTACCTGGCACCGCAGAGACACACTGTGCCAATGTACTGCAGATTAAAGCATGTCAGAGCGTTTATGGACAAGGTGTTAGTCCAGGAGTGATGGAATCACATTGTAATACTCTGCCTTTGAAACAGGCAGACCGCATTACTCAGGAACAAAGTGTTTCATGTCACTAATATTAACCTGAAAATATGCAACAAGAAAACAAGAGGTTCCAGAAAGAGACTTTTAAACTTTGTGAAACTCTCATCTCTTCCTACAAGACAAAAATTAACAGTTTGTTATTGCATGGCAGTTTAACCAAGAAAACGTTTAACAGATGTCAGATATTTGAAGTAAGATGTATGGAATACAAATAGTTCGAGATGTTACTGAAAATTAACTTCATTATGCATAACACATTGAAATAGCGCTGAGACAACAGAATCAAAGATAGAAATGAGAACAGATTTAAAAAAAACAACATGATGTAAATGTCAAAAATACTGTATTTGAATGTGTAACTTGAACATAAAAGTTTCAAATCCAGTCCTGTGAACGACAGAGCTCATATACTGTAGGTAGGTAAGGTAGAAGATTAGATAGATACAAAGTTCTGTTTTAATCAAACACCATATCAACACAAACACCTGTGAAATGTCTGTTTAAAGTGCACCATTGACAAACAATACTAATAAAAATAAATAAATAAATAAAAAGTTTCCGGAAAAATATTCAAGGACACGTTTCACTAGAGTTATTAAAATGAAAGTGCCCTGTCACTATCATGGGGGGGATTTAGTGAGAAACTTCAGTTGTTAAGCAAAGTGCCTTTCGTGATGATGAATATGTTGATGAATAAAAATGGTAATACTCCAAAGCAACTCTATGAAGGATGATAAATTCACCTCAAAGTCATGATATATTGCTCTGTTTGCATTGGTATTCAAATGCCTGGAACTCTTAATATAGCTATTTTGCATATTTTATACCCATCTCATTTCAATCTATATTAGTAGAATAGAATTTAACGAAACAATGGAATAAATCTATAGCAAACACTGAAAGCCTGAATGAAAATGTGCTGCATTTCAGAGGCCGCTCAAAAATCTCACTGCATCTCCCACCTGACCTCCCCGCTAACAGATCAATAACTGCATTACGTCTTTGAAACCCTTTTACCAGGTCCTGAGGCAATGCTTTTATCTCTTCAAAAACATGCCGTTAAACTAAACCCGCCAGTTATTCGGTTTGTTAAAAGAATCATGCACACGTGCAAGTCACGTTGGGATAGAGATACAGACTTAACTGACACAACCTTGTAAGCCATCGCTTGTGCCACAGGCAAAGTCACACTTATTCACCAGCTGGTGGGGTTTAGATCGCAGAGGGAGACACGGTGAGGCCCCGGGGGCCTCAGTTGAAATTCATTTTTCACAGGAAATCCAGCTCTTCAGGGATCTGGGCTCTAATGAACTCCTGCTAAAAACCAGCACTATCTGATCCCAATGTGTGAGGTTTTGAATGCCAAGCTCATGGGAAGTGGAGAAACACTGTAAGACACGGGCTACGGGTAAAGTGAGACAAATAGCCATCATGGGACGTGGATTTAATGGTCTCGCATGAAAAGTAACACAGAACCTGGTTAGGAAGCATCAGTAGTTGCCGATATGCTGTCGTATGTTTTAAATAGTGATGATTCAATAACCGACTGATTTAATAACCTGCGGTATGAGACAGTGTGGAATATAGACCTAGTCTGCACTGAGAATTCATATCAGAAAACAATGTTCGGTAAAGAGAGGAAAATAATTCAGAAACAATAAAGTACTTTTGTTACAACCATAAAATGCACTCTGTACATTGTAACTATTAACACACCAATAATTCATTAAATAATCTCCATGAAATATAGAATTATTACACATTAAATATTTATACATTCTCTTGTGTATAAACTAAAGCTCTTACAATTCCACAGATTTTTTTGTTGTCCCCCATCCCTAAGTTTCCATATACAAATACATAGATTCATATCATTGTCAATAAGATATATTCAACAGAAAACTGAACCCAGGTATAATGAACAAGAATACAAATTCTATCAAATGTGGATGCTTTAAAAAACAAATCTGAGACATAACTATTGCCACCTTCTGGCCAGAAGTGGCATTGTGTACCACTGGATGAACAATAGCATTCCATAGGTAGCCAGGAAGGAAAAGGAGAAACCGAGTACATTAGAGGCCACTAGTGGGCTTTCCTCCTCTAAAGAGCCGTTTCTTTCAAATCGTTGAGGTTCGGCATTCTCACGCGGGCGGCTCTGGTAAAGCCGATACCGTTCTGCCCACCTTTGTTTGCCATTTGGTCTGGGTACGGCGCGCCCTCGGCCCGATTCAGTGCGGAAACGTGCCAGCTGGACTCGATCTGCCCTGGCAGAGGGTAGTTGTGGGGTTTGCGGCTCTTGGTATTGGGGGTGACGCTGCCCGGTGGGAGCCCTCTGGCCTCATTCAGGTTTCCTTTGGAAGGGGGGTTAGGGAGGGGCTGGAAGCGCAGTTCTGCCGAGCGATCGGGAGGTGGGGGCTGATTGGACGTAGCAGGAGAAGAGAGGTGTAGGAGCTTCCGCAGGGACTTCAGAGGCTGGTTCTGCAACAGGAAAGCAAGATTAATAATGCATGTCTGTGTGCAATCATGAGATAAAAAGGATGTTTTTTTAGGAAAATTCAGCCAGGATGCATTGAATGCATCAAAAGTGGCAGTAAAGACATTTATAATGTGTTCAATTTCAAATAAATGCTGTTCTCTTTCTAAAAATATCACATCATGGTTTCTACAAATATTAAGCAGCACAACTGTTTTCAACATTGATAACAATAATAAATGTTTTTGAGCAGCAAATCAGCATAGTATGATTTCTGAAGAATCATGTGTCACTTAAGACTGGAGTAATGAATGCTGAAAATTAGGCTTTGCATCACAGGAATAAATAGCATTTTCAAATAGATTAAAATAGAAAACAGTTATTTAAAATTGTAAAAATATTTCACAATATTACTGGATTTATTGTATTTTTGATCAAATAAAGGCAGCCTTGGTGAGCATAAAGGCCCATTCACACCAAAGATACTAACTAGAATACGATAACTATAAAGTTTTAATAATCGTCTTAATCCTGTGAGAATTAGTCCAGAGGAGTGTCACTTTCAAAACAATTTTTTTCCAGATGAAATAATAAATCACTGATCAGAATCAGAATCCATCCTGCTTTAAAGAGCTCTGCATTTAAAGCAACTGACAACAAAACTGCAGCATGGGCTTAGAATAAACAGAACAGTTTTTTTGCCATTTTTGTTTTTAGGATAGGACAGTATTGTAGACAGGAATTGATGAGGGAGAGAGAGGGGGGATGGGATCGGGAAAGGTCCGTGAGCTGGGACTCGAACTCGGGACATCCGAAGCACAACAGCGTTATATGTCAGCGCGCTACCCACAAGGCTATGACCGCCGACATAAACAGAACGTTTTTGTGGATGCTAATGTAGTTATATTAAATAACACCTTCAAAATTAATAGGAACAAACAAGGAGATTTTACTATCAGTTCATCTGAAGGTTTTTTGTTTTTTTTTTACCTGAGGCTGCACATCTGTCTGCTTTTCAGGCGGCCAAGTGTTGTCCCTGTCACGATCGCGATCCCTCTCGCGGTTTCGATCGCGGTCACGCTCCCGGTCCCTTTCCAGGTCATGTTCCCGGTCACGATCTCGGTTGCGGTGTCGACTGCTGTGATGAGACGAGGATTTGACTGGTCTTTGTATCACTAGCTGGTCTTGCTGGGCCTCACTAGGAACCTGACACGGATCAAAACACACAACCAGTGAAACCAACTGAATACTGGAATTTATGTACAATAAATCTCCTATCCAAACAAAAGTTCACCCATAATCACGTGCATTAGGCCAGCAGACTGGAAACGTGCAGAAATATTGCCCTTTTAACCAGTTCATGGCATGCATTTGTTTAAGATGGAAACCATTTAAGAATTTAATTCCAATGACCAGCTTTTGCAACTGTATCCGGAGAGGACGAATTATTGAAGATAGATAAAGAGTCGAGTGTTTCAGGACGTGCCCAGTTTCTGACCTTTTGTACCAAAAAATGTGAGTGTTTTTGTACAGAAGACAGAGAGTTTGGGTGTGAAAACATTTGGACCACTTCTCCTACTCTTTCCCAGGTTTGGAGAATGGTAAATGAGAAAACGTGCATCCTCTTTGAGCAGGTGCTGCTAAAGACGGTTATGGGGTCCATGCATCTAACAGAACACATGCTGATGCTTTTGCGATGCTGGCAGTAAACTAAGCAGTGATGTAAATCATAAATCACACAGAACCAGATCTGTTACATCAGTATATATAAAAATACCTAATCTTGACCTAATATGGTTCGTCATTCATTATCAACGTTTCTGTTGTCTGTTCTACCAGCAATTGAGATCATAAATAAAATGTGGTGTGTGCAAAGATGCATTCGGCTTAAAGAGCAGTTTAAGAAGAGTTTTACTTTGGCTGTAAATTAAAATTTGATATATTAATTTACACATCAACCCAATTAATGATCTAATAATAGTATTTTTTGATGTGTAAAATGATTCATGCATTTTTTCTTAGCAAATACAGCATAATATAATATAAATAAAAAAATAAATAACTATAAGAACTAAAATATATAATAATAATAATATATTTAGAAATATATATATTGCAATACTATATTGTATTTCTATATTTCTGAGCAAATTAAATAAACAAAATTAATTTGACTAAATAATTAGCATATCAAGTGATTGATTTGATTAAAATGTTTAAACGTAGATCTGGAAAAACGGCTCTGGCAAAAAAAATAAATACAAATAATAACACTAACGACAACTATATAAAAATGACAAAAAGACATCCAGTCATAGAACACCTATACATTTAGCATGACATGCAATGGAGATGTGTTTATTTGGTAAAGCGGTTCGGTTTTATGTGAGCAATACCATCGGCTGCGGGACAACAGGGAGCACTTTGACAGAAGAGTTATGCTTTAAGCTATTCTTTGAGTTAAAGAGGGGGAAAAGGCTTTTCTTGATGCTCGGGTTCCTTCCCGCGTTGCCGTCCGTCTGCAATATAAGACGCACAAAACCCCAGTGGCTCATTCTATTAACACCAAACATCTTTTGTTGTTGAATACAGCAGATGAACATACGGTCCTCTGGCTCAATATTTGTGGACAGAGCACAGTAGAGGCAGATTCTGCCACACACATGCTGCTCGGGTCTGTAATGGTCTCCATATGGCTATTATGGGGAAATGCTACTGAAGGCACTGAACTGCACTGAGTCTCTGTTGAATTTTGTCAGGCACTAATCGGACAAAAGTACAAATAGACAGCCTGCTTTTTGGGATGATATGCCCACTTCATCTTTCTTTTTGCACTGGTCACCTACATGCTGATTGAGATGACTGAATAGACACCATGAGGTGAAAGCTCGCCTATCAATTTTATTGAAAAAGAGAGACAGTATTCTTCTATCCTAGACTATTGCTTTGTGTATAAATATATCATTTAAGTTCAATGACTAGCAGACAGACATACAAGGACACAACACAGCAGCTAAGCAACACATAATACATACATGTCAAATGTGACCATGGACCACAAAACCAGTCATAAGGGTCAATTTTTCGAAATTGAGATTTATACATAATCTGAAAGCTGAATATATAAGCTTTCCATTGATGTATGGTTTGTTCGGATAGGACAATATTTGGCTGAGATACAACTATTTGAAAATCTGGAATCTAAGGGTGCAAAAAAATCTAAATACTGAGAAAATCACCTTTAAAGTTGTCCAAATCAAGTTCTTAGCAATGCATATTACTAATCAAAAATTAAGTTTTGATATATTTACAGTAGGAAATTTACAAATCGCCTTTAAAGTTGTCCAAATGAAGTTCTTAGCAATGCATATGTCTAATCAAAAAATTAAGTTTTAATATATTTACAGTAGGAAATTTAAAAAATATCTTCATGGAACATGATCTTTACTTAATATCCTAATGGTTTTTGGCATAAAAGAAAAATCTATAATTTTGACCCATACAATGTATTTTTGGCTATTTCTACAAATATACCCCAGCGACTTAAGACTGGTTTTGTGGTCCAGGGTCACAAATAAGCTTTCCATTGATGTGTGGTTTGTTACGATAGGACAATATTCGGCCGAGATACAACTATTTGTCTCCTGGCTAAGGCATTACTATATTCTTACTGCATTTCGATACCATTTTTGAGAGTAACGGGAAATGTAATGAGTAAATGAATGAATAGTAATGAACAGGACATTCTTACCGGCTGTGACTTCTTCTTTTTCTTCTTTATGGCTCTAAAGAAACCTTGTTTTTCTTTTTGTTTAGGGACCTCTGGTGGGTTCATGACCATGGCCTCTGAATTATTCCTACAAAAGTAATTATTATAAAGTTGAATCTCATAAAAAAAGCATTTTGGTCATAAAATAAAATAAAAAGATTTTATCTTAGCACATCTGCTGAATAAATTCTCATTACTGTAAAAATTAAAACACAATTTTTTAAATTAAAAGTCAATATATATTTTTGATTTTTTTTAAATATTTTTATTTCACAATTTGTTTGTTATTGTACACTATATGGACAAAAGTAGGGAGAT